CTGATCGCGCCGTCCAAGATGTCTCAAAGCGCGTCCCGGGACACGCTGTAAGGTGTAGCGACCGCGCGTGCTGTGTTTTGCGGGCGAAACGGGGCGCGCGTGTGTGCGTGTGCGTCTGTGCGTGTGCGTCTGTGCGTGTGCCTGTGTGCATCTGTGTGTGTCTGCGTGTGCGGAGTAAGGAAACGTGCCTAAGGTTTCGCCCTGACCTGACCCGCCCGGGAATCGAACCCGGGTCCTCTCTCGCTTGCGAGGTCTCTAACCCCTGAGCTACAAGAAAGGCTCGGACTGAAGACGGAGGAGGCGGGTGAGGCGGAGGCGGAGGGACCGAGACAGAGCTCCAGAGTCTCGGGGCGGTCGCGACCGACCGCGGATCCCGAACGACACCGCGCAGCAAATTCGAGACGTCCTCCGGGCGCGACCGGCGCGATCGGGTGTCGGTTAGGATTGTTCCCGATAATTCCCTTACCGTTGGGCTGCGGTCCTGGGCGGCAGCTTCGAGTGGCCCCCGTGGAGGGGCGGAGGAGGGCGGCGCGTCCGTGCCGGACGGCGGGGGCGGATCGGCAGCTTCCCCCTGCGTCCTCGGAGCCCGGCCCCTGCCCTCGGCTGGCCTGCCCCCCCCAGCCTGCGTCTCCTCCTCCTCCCCTGCCCGGGGGGCGAGCTCGGCGCGCGGGCGGCTGCTTCCTGGCTTCGTCTCCGTGTCTGCGTCCGCCGGGGAAGGCTTCGAGGCCCGAGCGGCGAAGGCCTCGACCCTCCCCTCTCCGCGGGCCGTCTCCCTGACTTCCCGGCCCGGGCCGGCCACGGGGGGGCGGGGCTCCTGCTCTTCGGCCCGGTGCCACCCCACCTCGGCTGCAACCGGGAGACGAGAAACTTATTAATCGTAATCGGTAATAATAATCGATAATAATAATCCCGGCGTTTGACCCGGCGCCTCATCACGTCCTCTTTCACTCCCTCCATCGCTCCCCCTCTCCTCTTTCTCTCTCGTTCTCTCTCTCTTTCTCTCCCCCTCTCTCTCCCTCCCTCTCTCTCTCTCTCTCTCTCCCCCTCTCGGTTACTTTCTCTCTCTACCAACCCCTCTCACTCGCATCGCATTCTCTCACTCTCTCCCTCTCCCACTCTTTCACTCCCTCTCTCTCTCGCTCTCTCTCCCTCCACACTCCCCTCCCTCCCTCCCTCCGCACCTCCGGGCGCACTAATTAGAATGATTAATAACAACAATAATCCCGGCGTCTGACCCGGAGTCTCATCGCGTCTCCGAGACGTCCCAAAGCGCTTCGCGGGACAAGTGTAGTGACTGTGTGCTCTGTGGGCGAAACGATGACCACCCCCACCTCCCCCCCCCCCAACCACTGTACCGCCCTTTACCCAGGTCACACACACGCACACATACAGTCGCGTCGACACCCCACCCTCCCCACCTCTCGGGCAGCGAAGCGGAGACCGAAGGCGAGCGCCAACCTGTCTGATCAGACGTGTCCATCTGCTGGGTCTCCCTGGACCCCAGGTCCAGGGCGTGGGCCAGGCTCCTCTCCAGCTCGTTCACCTGCTCCACCAGGGCGGGGTCGGTGGCGGCCGCCGCCTTCTCCTGAGCCGCTGCTCCGACCTCCTCCGGGCGGGCAGCCCCGGGGCCCGGGCTCTGCGTCTCCATCCACTCGGGGAGGTCGCTGCCCGTCTGCGGGGCGCTCTCGGGTGCCGGTGCGAGCGAGGGGGCTGGCTCTGCCCGGGCGCCGCTGGCCGAGGGGGCGCTGAGCTCCTGCCCGCCCCCCTGCGCTGCCCACGGCAGGCTGACGGGCTCGGTGTCCGCCCCCGACGAGGCCGGCGAGCCGAGGGGCTCGGTGTCGCCCGCGGCGCTCTCCTGTTCCCGGCGGCGGTCGGCGGGTTCCGGGCGCAGCCAGCCCGGCGGCGGGGGGAGGCGGGCGAATTGCTGGGTGTCGTCCGCCTCCTCCCTGCCTCCGGCGCCGGCCCAGCCCGGAGACCTGAAGTCCTGCGTCGGTTCCTCGGCCTCGCCTGCCCGGGCCGGGTCGTTCTCCGAGAGGAGGGAGCCCGTGTCCTCAGGGGTCGATGCGCCCTCCGTGGGCTCCTCCGGCTCGGCTCCACCGACTGGCCCGGAAGCCCACCTGCGAAAGCCGAGCGGAGGAGAGACGCACAGTCACTACACCTGGTAATACATCCCACGTCACGATACGTCTCAAAGCGGAGTGGCCATGCGTTTTTGGCGAGCGAAACGCGGCAGACGATTCGCTGGGTGCAGCCGCGTCCCGAGAAAGAGTTGTGGGTTGAGCGTACGGGTGGGTTGGGGGGTTGTGGGGAGTGTGCGCGGGAGGGGAGACGGGGGGAAGTAGAGGCGAAAAAAGGAGGGAATATTAAGAGAAAAAAATGGACGCTCGCCTACCTTCAGGGCTTCCAGACTGGGTGCTTCGATCGACCCCGTACGTGCGTGTTTCTGCGAGAGGCAAAGGGGTTGTGGTGGGGTGGGTGGGGGGGGGGGGGGGAAAGAAAGACGGCACATTAAAACACAGGGTCGGTCACCCACCCTGGGCTCGCTTGTTGGCCGTACGCAACCCCCGATAAGCCCCCGCGAGTCGAGCGCTCTGACCGCGAAGCTGCAGGACTCCTTGTGCCGCGCAGGATTATGGTACTGACCCTCCGCTCGGTCCTCCTCTCGCTCCTTCCGGGCGCTTGGCGTGGGCGCGATGTAACTCTGGGTGAGCTCCAGCGTGTACGTTTCGCTGATGTCTGCAGGGAAACGATCAGAATTATTGTTAAATCCACGACGACGACGACAACAGCCGGGACGCGAAGGTAAGACCGGGGGTGAGTTTTTACCGGCCAGAGGCAGAGGCCATCTGTTACCTTCGTCGATGTCCGTGTCGCTGTCTCCCTTCAGGAGCTCATCCTCGCTCGCCTTCCCCAGCTCCCACTTGCCGTCTTCCTCCACGTCGGTATCGCTGCCCTCGCTCAGGTCCGGCCCTGGTGCTCCGCCCCTCCCTGGAGCAGGGGGGCCCGTTCCCTGAGCCGCTGCTGCTGCTGTTGTTGTTGTTGTTGTTCCCCCGGGGCTCAGGGAGGCGGAAAAGAGGGGCAGCCACTGCCTGGGGTCCCGAACCCGTCCCCGCCCCCTCCTCCCCCTCCTCGCTGTCACTGTCCAGGTTAAAGTACGGCAAGAGCCCAGGTGCCGATGGGCTTTCCAACGGGTGGCCCCCGGGTTCGGCCGGGGCTTCCTGACCGGCGGTGCAAACCGTCCCCGAGGCGGCCCCCTCCTCGGTGACGGAGCTTGGTTCCTCCTCCCCCTCGGCCCCGCTCTCGCTCTCGCTCAGGGACGGCAGGAAGTCTAGCCGGTGAGGCCCGGGGAGGGAGGGGGTCCCGGCGGGCGTCTGCCCTCCCCCGCTCCCCCCCCCATCCTGGGCCGTGTCGCTCCCGCTCGCGGAGTGAAGCCCCTCGAAGGGGCTACAGGGCGATGAGCTGCCCGGACCCTCATCGTCGCTGAGAAGGAAAGAGACCTCGTGAGAAACCAAGCCTTCTCCCCACCCCACCACCGGCGAGCGCTTAAGAATATTCCAGATGAAAGAAGACCAAAGGTCCACCCAGTTCACCTTCCGCCATAATAATAATAATAACCCTCGCACTTGATACAACCCCTTATCACGTCTCCGAGACGTCTCAAAGCGCTTCACAGGACACTCCGTAAAGTGGAGTGACTGTGTATTTTGTGGGCGAAAGGATCCTGCATCCCCAGATATTATTTTGTAACAGAACTCTGATTTGCTACCCTCTCTCTCCCTCGCTTTCCCTTCCTCTCTCTCCCTCTCTCTGTTTACCCCCCTCCTGTCTCCCACCGCTCTCTATTTCTCTCTCTTTCTCTGCTCTCACTCTCTCCGCGCCCCCCCGCCTTTCCAGAACATAAGATTTGCCATCGAGTTCGCCTTCCACCGTCCTGGCCTGACATGTCGTGTCCCAAACTGTACACTGTGTCCCCGAGATATTATTTCCCCTCAGAAATCTGTCTCATTTGTTCTTGAAAGAATCGAGTCTTCCTGCTTCCACCGTCTGTCTCTCCAGGGAGCCCGTTCCATACATTTACTACTCTTTCACTGAAGTAGTGTTGCCACAGATTTGTTCTGAATTTACCCCCCGTTCAATCGCATGCCGCGTCCCCTGGCTCCGCTGTTGTTAAACAGCTTATCACGGTCCACATTACCCTTTCTCCCGCAAAGTGGACGGTCAATTCACTTTGCAGAATATTCTGTGAAGCAGAAGCCTCCTGCTCGTCCCTCGCACCACTCCACCCCGAAACTCTCCCTCAATCCCTCCGCCTTGCCACCCCCCGCCCCCCCCTCCCCTCTTTCAGGTCCCGTCTGAAAACCTTCCGTCTTCGACTGTTCTTACCGCTACCTCCACCCTCCGGCCCACCCCACGGCTCGGAGTCGGGCTCCGTCACCGTTAAGCCTCTGAGACCTTGTCCTGCGTGGAGGGCACTAAATAAGCGCAACTTGTTGCTTTTATTGTCGAGACTCTCCATCCCCTTCATCATTTTGATTTACAGGCTCTCACTCGCTCAACCCCCACCGCCCACCCCGCTCCCTGGAACTCCATCCCGACTCGTACTAATCCTTGCATCCTCGCCCTCTCCCCTCCCACCACCTCTCCGGCTCCCACCTTGAAGCTATGGGATCGTACCTTTCAGGGACAACTGTGTTTGACGGAGTTTGGAATTTGGACCGGGATTGGCTGCCGAAACCTTGCGTAGAGTTCAATCCTGGGAATGGAGAGCAAAGGCAAACTCTGGTACGCACATAAACAATAATAATAACCCTTGCATTTGATATAAGGCTTTTCACGTCTTCTCGACGTCTCAAAGCGCTTCACAGAATATGCTGCAAAGTGAATTGACTGTATATTTGTGGGCGAAATGCGGCATCCAATGGCGCACAGCAGCGTCCCACAAACAGTCGTGGATTGAGTGACCAAACTATCATTATTTTGAAGGGATTATTATCCCCGGAAAGCGATCCGCCAATCGACTAACGAGTGAGTTCCTACTTACTACTCGATAAACAGAGGCGTGCGAGCGGCCCAAGCTTACTTACCGGAAGTGCCGGGATGTGCCTTGTTCCTTGCCGAAGTCTCCTCGTCGTCCGAATCCTGCACGTAGACTCCGGCCTGCGGCGTCCGCAGGGGGAAAGGTGTCCTCTCGAGCTTGGCCTGGTAGTTCTGGGTGGGCGACAGTGCCAGCGAATCGTCCTCGGAATCGCCAGCCTCCGTCTCGGCCTCCCCTCCCCGCGTCTCCGTCCTCCCGCCCGAGCCCGAGCCCGAGCTCCAGCGGGGCACCAAGAAGTAGCGACAGGCCACGTCGGCGAACAGCAGCAGGTCCCCGTCGCGCAGGGCGTACCGCACGCCCGGCTTCAGCACGCGCCGGACACGGCGAGTCTTGTTCAGGCTGTTGCAGTCGTAGATCAGGTGCCCGTCATCGTCCACCTCGATGACCGCGTGTCGCTTTGACACCGACTGGGCCGCCAGGCGCACACCGCAGCTCTCGTGCCGCCCGATCACATTGTCCCCTCTGTACACCGGGAACTCTGGGCACACGCGCACACGCATTACGCACACGCACACGCACGCAACAACAATGATAAGTATTTTTAATAAGCAAAACACGCACGCGGTCACCGCGCTTTACAGCGTGTCCCGTGAGGCGCTTCGAGGCGTCTCGACGACGCCGGGATTATTATTATTATTATTATTATTATTTGGAGGTGAGATTGGTTGAGGACATTAATAATTAATAATAATAATTAATAATAATAATAATAATACCAACAACAATGACGAGGCTTACATTTGACCCGGAGCCTCTCCCATCGCGTCGCTCAAGACGCCTCAAAGCGCTTCGCGGGATACGCCGTAAGGTGTAGTGACTGTGCGTTGCGGACGAAATGTTGGGAGGTCAGAGACCCTCGACCTCCTCACCCCCCTGGAGGGGAAATCGCCCCCTCTTCCTCCTTCTCCTCCCTCCCTCCTTCCTTCCTCCCTCCCTCCTCTCTCCTCCTTTCCTTCCCTCCTCCATCCCTCTCTCCTTCCCTCCCTCTCTCCTTCCCTCCTCCCTCTTTCCTTCCCTCCCTCCCTCCCTCCTCCTTCCCTCTCTCTTTCCTTCCCTCCCTCCCTCCTCCCTCTTTCCTTCCCTCCTCCTTCCCTCCCTCTCTCCTCCCTTTCCTTCCCTCTCTCCTCCCTCTTTCCTTCCCTCCCTCCCTCCTCCTTCCCTCTCTCCTTCCTTCCCTCCCTCCCTCCTCCCTCTTTCTTTCCCTCCTCCTTCCCTCCCTCCCTCTCTCCTCCCTTTCCTTCCCTCTCTCCTCCCTCTTTCCTTCCCTCCCTCCCGCCCCTCTCTTACCTTTCTCGCTGTCACAGTTGCCCACCACCACCTGGAGGCGCCCGCGGGGCTCCTCATCCCGGGCCGCCTGGCGGGGCCGCTCCTCCTCCTCCTCCTCCGGCTGCCAGTCCAGCGGCTGCGTCTGGTCCATGGTCTCCCCTTCCCTCCGGCCCCTCCAGCCCCGCTCTCCCTCTCTCTCTCTCTCTCCTCTAGGGCCGCCCTTTCGCCCCTCTCTCCCCCACTCCGGCCGCCATTAGCGGCGTCCGCTCCGTCTCACACGCCTCGCTCGAGCCGACGGACGGCCGCCGACCACGTGACGCGCGGCCCACGTGACCCGCTCCGCCAGCCTCATTGGCCGGCGTCCGCGTCAACCGCCTCATCCCCTCCTCCCATTGGCCAGGCCGCAGGTCACTCACGCGCTCGACCCCGCCCCCCTGTCCGGCCCGCCCCGCGCGCGGCGACCGTTACGGCCGTTTTGTTTTGAAAAGAGCCGCGTGCGCGGGGGAGCGGGGGGGCGCGGAGCTGATAGGGTGTCAGCCTGGTGGCGTCACGGCCCTTGCTGCAGCTCATTGGTCAGCTGAGCCGTCACTCAGCGAATCCGCCCCGCCTTCTCACCTTGCCTGCAGTCCATTGGTCGGCTGAACCGTCACCTGAGCGTCTCAGTCTCGCCCGTCGCCGACACACACACACACACACACACGCCGACATCCATTGGTCGACAGAGCCGTCAGTCAAGCTGCGTCGACCAATCAGGAAGCGAGCTATCAGACCCCCAGCCCCGCCCTCCCACTGCGCCCACACCCATTGGCTCCCCAAGCTGTCGATCAAGGCGCGCCGGCCAATCAAGAGGCGAGTAGTTAACCCAACGCACACGCCCACCCGCCCCCCCCCCCCCCCCCCGAGCCGCACAAGCGAGGGGACCCGGGTTCGATTCCCGCCCGGGTTCGGGTGAGCGAAACCTTTTATTCACAGTAAATTATCAATACTAATATTATTAATAAATAATAATAACAATAATAATTATGCGGTGTTATTGACAGCCGCAACGGTGACGTATTATTGTTCGCAACCGCGTTGGTAACCACAGCATCGTTACATGAACCCTATTGATGGCGTTAATAAGAGCGATAAGAATCCCCGGGGGTTTGACCCGGCGCCCGATCGCGGCTTCGAGACGCCTCAGATGCCCTTCACGGGACACGCTGCGGAGCGTAGTGACTGTGCGCGCGCCCGGCGACGTCCCCGCCACAAAGAGCCGTGGATTGAGCGACCACATTAGGAGGGTCTTGAAGGAGCCGAGGGAGGGTGGGGCGGGGGTGGGGGTGGGGGGGGGGGGGGTGGGGGGGGGTTTGGGGCGAAGCGGAGGGACTGCGGGACTGAGCTCCAGAGGGTGGTGGGAGGGTGGGTTGGGTGGGGAGTGACTGTAGACCCCTCGCCCATTAATGGGGGGGAACGGGGGGGGGGGGTGGGGGAGGCGGGGGCCGTGAGGGAAGCGGGTAGGATGGAGGGGGGGGTGGTGGTGGTGGGGGGGGGTGGGGGGTTAGGAGCTGGCGGACATGGTGAGGGGGAGCCAGGGCCGTGGAGGGCTTTTGACGGCCAGGATCTCGAGCTGCGCGGTGGGACGCCAGTGGAGATGGACGGACGGATGGATGGATGGATGGGGTAGGGGTGGGGGAGGGGGTGGGGGGAGAAGTGGGGGGTCGGGGGGGGGGGTGGGCGATGGGGGTCAAGGCCCCAGAACCTCAGAGACAGGGCGAGCGAGCGGTTAGAGACAGAAACCCGCACGTAACAAAGCTCGAACTCAGTTCCCCACGTGGAAAAATACGTGGTTTTAATATTTCTTTCGCGCCCTCTGGACGAGAGGAGGAGAAGTCGCGCGTTCTCCCCTTACAATCCGGGAAAACCTCCTCCCCCCTCCCCGACGCAACGCAACGCCCCCCCAAAATAATAATAATAATAATAATAACAATAATAATAATCTCGCGTCACGGCTTCCAACGTGACTTCAGTTTCAACGGTCACTGATGTCTTACGCGCCGGAAAAAATAAAAGTTCTCCCTCGCTCTCGCTCGTGCCTTACGGCTGAACGGACGTGAACCCCCTTCACCCCCACACGCGTGACACCCGTCCCACCACCCCCTCACCCCCCCACCACCCCCTCCACCCAACAGCGAGGGGAGCGAGAACGAGGCCATTTTCTTTGACAAAACGGCTCCCACCCACCTCCACCCAACCACCGCCAAACCCCCTTCTCCCCCCCACCGCCCGCCCGCCCGCCCGCCCGCCCCCCCACCCCAAACTACTTCCTCTTCAGGACGGCCCCCCGGATGATGGCGTGGAGCTCCCTCGCGCTCTCGCTGGGCCCCTGGGCCGTCCTGGAGGCCAGGTCGTGGAGCAGACACACGATGGGCCGCCCCAGTTCCACGTAGACCCTCTCCGCCTCCTTCTTGCGCTTGTAGCCCTCCCCCCCGCCGTGGAGGCCCACCAGGGCCCCCTCCCCGTCCAGGATGGGGGAACCGGCGGTCGAGCCGCCCGGGACCGGCCCCCCGGCCCCGACCGGGCCCTGCCGGGGTCTCCTGAAGGCCTGGCCGGCCACCAGCAGGAGCCGGGGGGCCTCCCCGCCCCTGTCTCTCTCTCTGCTGTCCTCTCTCTCTCAGTCTCTCGCTGTCTCTCTCTCTCTCTCTCCTGTCTCTCTCTCTCTCTCCCTGGCTCTCTCTGTCTCTCGCTCTGTCTCTCTCTCTCTCTCTCTGTGTCTCTCTCTCTCTCTCCCTGTCTCTCTCTCTCTCTCCCTGGCTCTCTCTGTCTCTCGCTCTGTCTCTCTCTCTCTCTCTCTCTCGCTCTGTCTCTCTCTCTGTCTCTCTCTCTCTCTCTCTCTCGCTCTGTCTCTCTCTCCCTGTCTCTCTCTCTCTCTCCCTGGCTCTCTCTCTCTCTCGCTCTGTCTCTCTCTCTTCTCGCTCTGTCTCTCTCTCTGTCTCTCTCTCTCTCTCTCTGTCTCTCTCTCTCTCTCTCTCTGTCTCTCGCTCTGTCTCTCTCTCTGTCTCTCTCTCTTTCTCCCTCTCTCTCTCTCTCTGTCTCTCTCTCTCTCTCTCTGTCTCTCTCTCCCTGTCTCTCTCTCTCTGTCTCTCTCTCTCTCGCTCTGTCTCTCTCTGTCTCTCTCTCCCTGTCTCTCTCTCTCTGTCTCTCTCTCTCTGTGTGTCTCTCTCTCTCTCTCCCTGTCTCTCTCTCTCTCCCTGGCTCTGTCTCTCTCTCTCTCTCTGTGTCTCTCTCTCTTCTCGCTCTGTCTCTCTCTCTCTCTCTCTCTCTCTGTGTCTCTCTCTCTCTCTCTCTGTCTCTCTCTCTCTCTCTCTCTCGCTCTGTCTCTCTCTCTCTCTCTGTGTCTCTCTCTCTCTCGCTCTGTCTCTCTGTCTCTCTCTCTCTCTCTCTCGCTCTGTCTCTCTCTCTCTCTCTCTCTCTCGCTATTTCCCTCTGTCCCTCTCTCCGTCTCTAACTCTTTTCTCATTCCCAGAATCCGATAACTTTGTCCAGTCGTCATCTTCCTGCGTTATGGAGCTTCAGAAGGACAGTTCATTACAGGTCAGGGGTCCCCGTAGCTCAGGGGGTTAGACCCCCCCCCCCCACCCACAGCCCCTGTAGCTCAGGGGGTTAGACCCCTCGCCCCCCACACAACAGCCCCTGTAGCTCAGGGGTTAGACCCCTCACCCCCCACCCACAGCCCCTGTAGCTCAGGGGGTTAGACCCCCCCCCCACCCCACAGCCCCTGTAGCTCAGGGGGTTAGACCCTCGCCCCCCACCCCACAGCCCTGTAGCTCAGGGGTTAGACCCCTCACCCCCCACCCCACAGCCCCTGTAGCTCAGGGGGTTAGACCCCTCGCCCCCCACCCCACAGCCCCTGTAGCTCAGGGGTTAGACCCCTCGCCCCCCACCCCACAGCCCCTGTAGCTCAGGGGTTAGACCCCCTCCTCGCACCCCACAGCCCCTGTAGCTCAGGGGTTAGACTGTTAATTATTATTCCGCATTATTATTAATTATTATTAATTATCATTAATTATTTTTCCTCCCCCCCCCCCACCCCCTCCACCCTACTTTGCCTCGGCCCGAAGGCGAAGCCGGGCGTGGAGAAGCAACTTCGGACGGCCGCGGGTCGGAAACGCCCGGGAAAGTGCGAGGAAGACGAGGAGGAGGAGGAGGAGGATGCGGCGGAGGAGGAAGAGGAGGAAGAGGAGGAAGGCGTGGGGCTCCGGCCCAAGCGGGTCTTCACCTTCTCCATCTGCGGGGACCCCGACGACGTGCGCTACGTGGTCTCGGGTGACCCGGAGGCCAGCCTGGTCTCGGCCCTCAGGAGCTCGCTGGACTTCGAGGAGCGGGAGCGGGGCGGGAACGCCGTGCTGGCCTACGGCTCCGGGCCCCTGAGGGGCCTGGTCCACCCGGGGGTGGCCTGCCGCTACCTGCCGCCCGGGTCCCACTTCCGGCTGGTCTTCTCCCGGGCCTCGGGGCGGGAGGGGGGCAACCAGGCCGAGACCTCGGCTCCCCCCACTCCTCCTCCTCCTCCTCTGGCCCGGGCCCGCCCTCGCCCCCGGCCTCGCCCTCGCCCCCGACGCCACGTGCTCTTCTACGTGGAGCCCTGGGCCCGTTCCCCGGGCAACTCGGCCCAGAGGATCGTGCTGGCTGACCGGGTGGCCCAGGGCCAGACCGGTCTCTGCGTCCTGGCCTTCGCCGGGCAGACCGTGCGCCAGGCCCTGGCCGGGGACGGGCGCTTCCACGCCCGGGTGGACCAGGATGGGCACCGGCTGGTGGAGAGGGCCGAGGCCCCCACCAAGATCCAGTTCAGCAACGTGGTGGACCTCCTGGGCGGGCGCAGCTTCGAGGTGGAGCTCAGCGGCGGACGGCGGAGAGGAGGAGGAGGAGGAGGAGGAGGAGGAGAGGAGACGATGGCGACGACGGCCGATCGAGGCCACCACCCCAAGCTCAAGGCCGGTGGCGCCCCCCAGTCGCCCGACCGGCCCCGGCGGGAGCTCCCGGGGGCCCCTGCCGGGCTCCACGAGGCCCCCAGGTGGCACGGGGAGGCCCTGCGGGCGGCCATGGCCGACTTCCGGGCCCTGCTGGTCCTGGGCTCGGGCCGGGCCGGGCTGACCGAGAAGCAGTACCTGACCGGCCTGCGCCAGGAGGCCCAGCTGGGCATCCCGGCCGGGGACCTGAGGGCCCTGGCACCCCGGCTCTCGGCCGTGGGCTACCTGAGCTGGAGGGGCCACGGCTCGAGGGGAGGGGCAGGAGGAGGAGGAGGAGGGGGAGGGGGAGGCGGGGGAGTGGTGGGGGGGACCTGCTTCCTGCTGAAGGACCGTTTCATCATCACCTGCTACCACCTGGTGGAGATGATGGCCGAGGCTTGCGGAGGAGGGGGTGGAGGAGGAGGGGGGGGTGGCTGGGAGACCACCGGCACCCCCCTCCTGCGGGAACGGGCCGAGGTCTACTTCGGCTACGAGTCGGAGGGGTTGCTAGGCCCGGGGTTCCGGCTGGCCCCGGCCCCCGTCTCCTGCAACCCGGCCCTGGACTACGCCGTGTTGGAGCTGGAGGGGCAGCCCCCCGAGGGTCCGGGCCTGCTCGAGTCCTTGGCCCTGCCCCCCGAAGCGGGGCCCCTGTACCTGGCCGGGCACCCGGAGGGCGGGGAGAAGCGGGTCTGCCGCTGCGTGGCCATGGCGGGGGACGGGCAGGGTTCTGGGTGCCCGGCTCGCTGCCTGGAGGGGCTGGTGGCCGGCCCGGGGCCCCGGG